TAACTAGGTGGTTTCTCTTCAGCTTCAATTTCTTTATCAACTTCCTCATCAGATTCTCCATTTTTCTTTGATGAGGTTTCCTCTTTCCTTGAATTTCTCACCTCTTCTACACCTCTCCCACTTCTCAACGAAATTGCATTAACTTGCTCAGTGAGTTAGTTACTGTATTGCTTGGTAAGGAACCCTGCGGTCTCTCATTAACTTCTCGGCCAGTTGGCCCATCTGTACCTCAAGATTTCGAATGGACGCCCCTTGATTTCTAAAATTCGTCCTCGTCTCATTCATAAATCCCTGGTCTCTTGCATAAATTTCCCAAACATATCTTCCAACTTTGTCACTCTTTGATCTCCGGGTTGATTAGTCACCCCTGGTTGGTTATTTGAAACTGTCCTCTGGTTCCATTGGTTATTTTGTTGGTTCTGATTTCCCTAACAGATTTGGATGGTTTCTCCACCCCGGGTTGTATGTGTTAGAGTATGGATTGTTTGGTTGTCTCTGATTTCCTGCCAAGTAATTCACTTGCTCCATTGATGAAGAGGATGAAGAAAATATTTCCCAACTTGACACTCGCTGCTCACATGGTTTCCTGCACAAAAATCACACGTTAGTTGAGTGCTTGACTAGAGTTTACCTGTACAGTTCCCAACTATTTTGAAGTGCAGTGAGTTGGGCTGAGATGGCTGTGAAGGCATTAACTTCATGAAGACCCGAAGATTTCCTTGTTATTGCTCTCTCATTAGTCTTTGATAGTTGTTTGCTTGCCAAAACCTCAGCAACTCATAGGCCTCTTCTGGTGTCTTATTCTGCAAAGTCCCTCCTGAAGCTGCATCCACCATGGTTTGCACATTACCCTCAATCCATGTGAAAGTTTGGACTTGAAGCCAACGGCAACCCATGGTGTGGACATTTCCTCATCAACTCCTTGTATCTCTCCCAAGCCTCGTACAATGACTCGGAATCATCTTGTAGAAATGATGTGATATCATTTCTCAATTTTGCTAATTTAGCTAGAGGAAAGACTTGGTAAGGAATTTCTGTGCTAGATCATTCCAATTTGTTATAGTTCTCGGTGGTAATGCCATTACCACCCTTGGCTTTATCTCCCATGATAATAAGAATAACCGCAGCCTAATAGCGTCATCTGAAACTCCTTTCGACTTGAAGGTGTCACAAATTTCCAAGAAATTTGCAATGTGCTGATTCGGATCTTCCTTCAAATCACCATTAAATCTAACTGACTGCTGGATCATTTGGATGATTGTCGGCTTGATCTAGAAGTTGTTTGCCTACCAGTAGGTCTAGTAATACTCGACCCACTACCATTCACTGTGGGAACTGAAAATTCCCTCAGTGTCCTATTTCTGGTTCAGCCATTTCAACAACTATTTTTCTTCTACTTCTACAACTAAATCCTGTCTTTATCTTCTTACGTCGTCTAACGTTCTCTCAATCTCAAGATCAACAGAACTCTGGTTGACGTCTCGTTCTTAGCATAAACTACAAAAACAGAATTGAAGGAAAGTGAGATCACAAACCAACTGAAAATTAAAAACAAATAAAAACTCCAATCTAGCTAACTATAGATAGACTCAAGTGTTAACATAAAACAAATCCCCAGCAACGCGCCAAAAACTTGATGCGTGTTTCCTACAACATGCAATATGTAGCAAGTATACTAATCGCACAAGTAATTAATATGAGTGGGTATTGTTCCACGAGGATTGTTAGCTAAGCACTAAGTATCTACCGTTTTCCAGTTAGAGCAACCGAAATCTTTGGATTGATGGGAGCTATTTCTATTAAACTTAACAATAATTTTAAATTAAAGTTAACTCCGAATGCAAGATGAAAATCACGGATAGTAATCAATTCAAGTAAAACGGAGGTTTTTTGACTTCATTCGGATTTTATGGTTAAACCTAAAAATTACACTACATTCACATTCATATGCATTGGTTGTAAACTGAACTCACTAAGCTGTTAAACAACCTTCTCAAGCTATGTTTTCCTATTCTTCCTTTTTAACCTTCCGCACCCAACAAATTGAAAGTTAACATTCCAAACTCATTAAGCAACAGAATCCATAATGATTTCATTAATTCTTGATCTATCTCTAGCATCCAAACTATAATGGTGATTACCCAAGAAGCCTAACATGAATCATTTCTCAATCTCATCATGTTCATCACATAAACAATTTAAAACTCAGAGTAAACACACTATGAAAGCATAGTCATATGAACATACATGAATCAATACTTAACCCATTAGAAATCTGATTACAATCAAAACTCTAACCCAAAATGGGTTAGTTCATAGCTAATAACGCTACATAGAAAACGAATAGCCAAGTTCACTAATGAAAGTAAGAGAGAGGACAAGAAATCTCCCCAATAATGATCCCTTGGTTCAAAATCCATCGTCACCCTTCTTATCGCTAAATCTCTCCAAGCTTAATCAAAAACAATGCAAAGTTGCTAACCCTACTTACTGGACGGCCCTCGGCAAAAAGGTTAAGTGTTTTCTTTATACCTCGCCCCAAATTTCTCAGAAAAACCCGCACAAAGTAAAACTGTGCGTTTTACAAAACTGAAAATTACAACTGTCATTGCGCGAAGAAAGAAGCGGACTTGTTCATGTCTGGCATACTTCGCCGCGGCGAAGGACAAGTCTTCGCTGCGGCGAATGTAACAACTGCTGTAAGCTAATACAATGCATGCATAATAAATAGAAAATTGGGCCCAAAAACTTTCTTTTCATTATAATGTCATATGTCTTTACACAAAGAGTATTGTTTACAAAAGTCTTTAGAAGACAAAACAGGGAAACAGTGTAGCTATTGCTCTTCGCTTGCCGCCGCCTCTTCGATGCATCATCACCTAGATCCTGCATCCACAAAGGCAAAAAATAACGGTTGAGCACAAAATATGCTCAATAAGTAAAACCCTCTATCTGTCTATCCCCGTACGTAAACTCTTAATTCTTTCCTTACACTATTTCTGTTTCTATTTCTGTTTCTACTAAACGTCATGGCCTCATCTTACCGGAGGTACGGCCGGATGGCGTTCACACGCACCATCTCACTCTTCATGACTATCGGGTGGAATTCACACACTACCAACCCGTTCTTAGTGACTACCGAGTGGGACACTAAGCCCTACCCCGGTTTTCGTAACTATCGGTGGAGACCACCTAGCACCTACCCGTTCCTCATAACTTTCGGGTAACGATCACTAAGCATTAACCCGTCTCTAATCACTGTCGGTGATGATCACAAAGCATCAACCCACTTCTAATAAATGTCGGATGATGATCACAAAGCATCACCCCTTATCTAATAACTAACCGGGTGGTGGTCACAAAACATCCACCCGTTTCTAACACTTATCGGTGGACGATCACAAAGCATCAACCCATCTCTAATGGCTATTCGGGTGTGATCACAAAGCATCAACCCGACAGTTATCTCTTTTTCTTCTCATTCACTCTATTCTAGCATTTTTCATTCTCTCTACCCTTAGAGTAGTTGCATCCACCAAGTTCTCTACTCATAGAGTAATTGCATACACAAAGTTTCCTACTCTTTCTTAGGTCACTTTTCAATGCACAATTAGTGCCTATGGATGGTTCATCTCCACTAATGCACTTATGAAATGCCAACATGCAATGTTGCAAGAATTAAGGTTCACTACTCATACTCAAACCTCTATTAGGCATTTCATCAAACAACTCAAGTGCATTATAAAACTCTACTATAGCAATGATTCTAAATCTTTCTCTAACCATCCAAAATGGGGAGAAACCCCCTCACATAGCCACATAACCTGCCAAAGAAAGACACTTCCAAAAAGGGTTCCACAATACCCCTTCAATTCCATCTCAAACTACCTTTCCAACCCACAACTCACTTCTTATATTTGAAAGGCATAAACAATCACAAAGCACTAGAAATATCTATTTAAGCCTCAATAACATGGCATATAACATGTTTATATAGCACACATACATAAGTGCTATCAAAACCCTAATCAAGAAAATTCCCAAATCTCAACTTGGGTTGGGGTTTACTTACCTTGTTATGGAGAGACTTCACTAACTCTTCCTTTCACTTGGTTTACTTGACTTTCTCTCTACTCTTCAACAAATGAACAAAAACCCTCAAACTCAAATATATACAAAAACTCACAAGACTTCACAACCAAAGCAAGAATCCTTACCTTAGGATGCCTTAGGTTGATTTTCTACCCCAAATCACTCCAAAAGCCCTTAAAAACTCCTTGATCACAAGAAAGAGAAATTGAGAGGAAGCAAGAGAAGGAAGTGGCGTTGGAGAAGAAGAATGAGGGGTTTGCAATGTCTTAATTCCTTTTAATGAAATTTATACACAAGCATTCCCATTTTGCCCTCACTCTTCTTTGGAAATTCTATCTATATCCTTTGATTCATTACAAACACACCCCCATATCAACATATTCTCCATGAAATTTCCTTACAATTTACTCCCCACTTTTCCTGCTAATTAGGGGTAGAATGGTCAAATTGCCCTTAGGGAAGAAAATATCTAAAACTTAATAAACATTTTGGTTGGCCTGTCGCCGCGGTGAGGAAACTTCTGTCGCCGCGGCGAAACTATCCAGCAGCTTCCCCCGTGGCTTCAACACCTCTTCGCCGTGGCGAAGATTCTTCTTCGCCTCGGCGAAGCTTGGCACACTGAACTTCTTCTATTTTCAACCAATTTCAGGGCAAGTATTCAACACAACACTCAATCAAAGTCAACCAAACAATATTACCAAGAAACCAACTCAAATAAGAGCAAAAGAAGAAACAATAACTACGTACCTCAAGTGAGGCGTTACAGCGAAGCTTCTTGAAAAGTTTTGAAATTATAGAACTGCCACTCTGCTTGCATCTTCGCTTGATTCTTCGATTCTCAGTGCTCTCCCTTTGGAACAAGCCTCATCGTGCTTTATCCTGCTTTAGAACTCACTTAACTTCTGATATCAGCTAACTTCTGAGTCACAAATAACCAATTTTGTCCTCATTTGCTCAAAAATGCCCATTCTAACCTGAAACACAAAATGTAAAGAATTAAGTAACAATTCAGGTTAAAATGCACTTGAAAATACCTGAAATCCAAATAAAAAGTCTAATGAAAACTGTATAATCCACGGATTATCAGAGACCTGCCTCCTACATGACTTCTACAAATCCCCTCATGGATCTTCCTCAGAACATAATTTACGTCTTCATGATCGATACATCGTAGCAACGGTACATTGAATCTGCGTTTGTACAATTTATCATTGATGAGTGTGTACTAGGCTACCTTTGTACAAAGCATTCTAGCTTCAATTCTCTCTTCTGGTAGTGTACCATCCCTTAGGTAGAGATTGATTGTGTCCATCCAACTGTATCTCCAACTTATTGTCAAAACTGGTCATTGTGGAGTGGAGATGTTTGGTCTTGGGAGGAACTTAACTAGGATAGAATCAGCTTTCTCTTGGTTCATTATACAGACTAAGTGGGCTAATACGTCTGCTTATGTGTTCTTCTCCCTCAAGATCTGGTGAATTGTGAAGGACCTAAACTGCTTGAGCTCGGTTTCAACTAGCTGGAGGTAGGACGACATCCTGTCTTCCTTCGCCTAGTATTCCCCGATAATTTGGTCGACCATGAGTTGTAAGTCGCTATAAACCTTAATATATTCTACCCCATTTCCTTGGCAAGGCGAACCCCTGAGAACAACACCTCGTACTTAGCCTCATTGTTGGAGGCGGCGAACCCGAATCTTACCACAGCTCTGATTAGGTTTCCCTCTGGACTTTCAAGCAAGAGCCTCATTTTTGCCCCTTTCTCATTTGAGGAGCCATCTACACACAAAGTTCATTGCCATAAGTTATCGAGCTTCGATTTTTGTTGCTCGATTTCTCCCGAGGTATCTACCCTTGGTGGGGTTGATTCATCTTCTAGTTGGTAGGAGAATTCAGATATAAAATCTACCAAGGCTTGACCTTTGATTGTTGTCATTGGCATGTACTTGATGTCGTGCTGACTCATCTCCATTGTCCACTAGATTAACCTACTCGATGTCACGGACTTTTGCATTATCTTCTTCAAGGGAAAGTTGGTAGCATGTGAATGGAGTGTGCTTGGAAATAGGGCTGCAACTTCCTAGCAGTGATGACAAGGGTGAAGGTGAGCTTCTCGATCTTAAGGTATCTCATTTTCGTGTCCAGTAGTCTTTTGCTCACATAGTATACCAGCCATTGCACTCCTCCTTCTTGGCATATCAATGTCGCGGTGACAATGAACTTTGATACCGATAAGTATAATAATAATAGCTCGCCCTGGCTAGGCTTTGACAATAAAAAAGGTCGTCCCAGATGTTTCTTCAGCTCCTGAAAGGCTCTTTCACACTCCTTTGTCCACTTGAAACCTTTATTTCCTTTCAAGGTCTCAAAAAATGGTAAGCAGCTATCTTTGGCTCAAGAAACAAATCTGTTGAGTGCGGCCACATGCCCTGTCAAGCTCTGTACCTACTTTATGCTGATCAGGCTTTTCATATCGAGTAGAGCTTGAATCTTCTTTGAGTTGGCTTTTACACCCCGTTGGTTAACGAGGAAGCCCAGGAATTTCTCCAAGCTTACTCTGAAAGCACACTTTAAAAGGTTGACATTTGGTATTTTCTGAGGATGTCAAACATTTCCCCTAGATGCTCAACACAGCTTTCTGCAACATTTGACTTGACAAGCATATCGTCGATGTATACCTCTATGGTCTTGCCGATTTGGTTAGTGAACATCTTGTTCACCAAGCGCTGGTAGGTCTCCCCAGAATTCTTGAGGCCAAATGACATAACCTTGTAACAATAAATTCCACAGTCAATAATAAATGACCTATGCTCTTCATCAGCTTGGTACATCAAAATTTGGTTATATCTCATGTACGCATCCATGAAGCTAAGTAGTACATTTTTTGCTGTCACATCTACTAGCTAGTCAATCTGTGATAGCGAAAAGTTGTCTTTGGGACAGGCTTTAGGCAAGTCTACCATTTGCCATTCGACTTCTTGACCAGGACCGAGTTGGCGAGCCAGTCCGGGCATTTGACTTCCCTGATAAAGTTGATTTTCAAGAGTTTGTCAACTTCATCCTTAAGCACTTGTAAGCGCTTTGCATCCATAAACCTTTTTTTTTTTTTGCCTTATGGGTCGAGCTTTAGGGTCGAGGTTCAACCTATGGCACATTACCTTGGGGTTGATCCCCACCATATCTACATGTGCCCACACGAACACATCAAGGTTTTTCTTCAGGAACCCCACCAGATTATCGACCATTTCTCCACTCAAACTGTTGTTGATCTTCAGTACACGAGTTGGATCTTCCTCATTGACACTTATTTCTCGTAGCTCTTCTGTCGGCCCTATTGTGGGCTCTTTTCTATGAATGTGATAATCTATTATATCCTTGAGTGGTCCGGGGTTTGGCTTGGATTCTGCTATAACCATTATTCTCGAGAGTGGCCACTTTTTTGCTGTGTGTATGGCCCAGTTGTAACATTCCCAAGATTCCTTTATGTAGCTCCTGATCATTGCAACCTCTTGGGGAGTTGGAAACTTCATTGCTTGGCAGCACACTGATGTGACTGTGCTTAAGTCATCCAAGATCGGCCTTCCAAGGATGACATTGTATGTGGTAAGGCAGTCTACCACTAAAAATCCAGCCATCACAGTCCTAATCTTGGGCTCCATCCCCAGAGTCACTGGGCGGTCGATCATCCCCTTGGGAACCAAGCTGTCCCCGATAAATCTATTGAGCGGCGAAGGGCACGCCCTCATATCTATCTCTGTGAACTCATTCCTTGGAAAGATCCCAAGAAAATGATGTTCGCTACATTCCCATTATCGACCATTACCATCTATATCGGGCATCACCGATTCTGGCCACGATTATGATCGCATCATGATTGTGGCGAAAAGATTCTTTGCATTCTTCAATCGTGAACTCTACTACCTCGCTTTCTTGTCTAGGCCGCTTGGGTAACTTCTGTTCACAGCTCATTCTCTAGGGAATTGAATTTGTCCTTGCCTCTCGAGCATATTGCTCACGAGCATGCCTTAAGCTCCCTACTATGTCGGGCCCCCCATAGATCATGCCTAGCCAGACTTCATTGTTGGAATTTGACAGGGCCTGTTGGACCTAATTTTGGACTTGGTTTTGGTCCTGGTTCAGGATTTGGTTATTTTGCTCCCTAAGATCTTCACGAGCTGGTGTCGTCTTAATGAATTCCTTTAGGTGGCCCCTTCTTATTAGGTCTTTGATGGCATCCTTCAAAGCCCAACACTCGTTTGTCTTGTGCCTGACATCCCGGTGGTATCGATAATACTTTTGTCGATCTCTTTTGCCTGGAGCCCCCCTCATTCTTTCTGGAACAGGCAGTCTCTTCGCCTCACGGGAGACTTCTTAGATGTGGGCAATGTCTTGAGTGAGTGGGGTGTATTCTGCATACCGCAGGAAGGGCTGCCTATCTTTGCGGTTATCTATTTTTTGTCTTTTTGGAACCTATTGCAGTCCCTATCATTACGATTTTGGCCTCCGCGCTTATTTGATGGATGATCTTGTTGCCTGTTCGAGGCCCCTCGCGCTGAACTTCTGGCCAATGCTGCCAGCGAGCTTTCTACCTACTGGTGTTTTGCAGCCATCTGGTATAACTTGGCCAGACTTATGTGATCTTCACTTTAGAACTCTTTCCACATCTTTGTGTTTGGCCTGATCCCTGTAATTAATCAATAAAGGCATCTTATTCTATATCACGGAAATCATTATTATTGCAATATGTATTTATATATGTCCTTAGAATGGTAGAACCGTGACGAGGGTATCAAGTGTTTCAAATCTTGATAGTGAGAACCCTATAAGCACATATGGTGGCCATTCTAGAAACGTACGTAGCCCTAGTATTATTCTGAAGTAAGGGCACAGATAATACGATAAGTCTATCATAGTGTTGAACGACCCTGTCGAAAGGCAGTGACTGATCTCACTTGTCAAGGTTGTTTGGTGACAACCTGGTGCAACACATGGGTGCTTGTTGTAGGCGGATATACCGCAGCAAGTTCACTGGACTGACCCACCAGAGGATTCCATATGGATGGTAACCCCAGTGTCTATGGAACAAATCCTCTAACGAATGGTGGTGCATGTGATCCTTAGACTTGAGATCACCGGAGCGCCTTGTCACTGATTGGTACAGTTTGACACTAGCCTAACACAATTCTATTCAGAGCTATCAATACGGTGGTGATTGGCTGCATCGAGGATGTATCAGACTATAGTGGATTGACAAGGATTCATCACTCCCGGGTATGGGAGAGTTATCTCACAGTGCAATTCAGTGTATGGTGATGACCCTAAAACTGTGGCCAAAGTGGATTGAGTTGTTGCTCTATCCAGTTTATTAAACGGGTCATTGGTCCAAAAACTGAATACATAATATCGGAAGTAATCAAAGGTTGATACTATTTCTATGCCTTCGTCTCGTCGAGATAACGTATGATGAAAGGATCGAATTGTACGGTAACCATTCGTTGCAGGTAGCTACTTGTTGATCCGAATCTATCGGTGGCCATATGCCTTGCTAGGGGCCAATCTTGGTCTGTGTATAAGTGAACGATTATTTGGTGTTAATCACGATACTATACACTACCGGTATGATGAGGACCTATGAGTCACACACATAGAAGATAATTTAAGACTTAGAAGAAAGAATGGTGTTTTCATCTTTTTGGGTGAAAGGGTATTTTGGTAATTTCACAGTGTTTAAATTGCTGAGGTCGTAGCCTTTATTTGATTTGTTAGAAAAATTAAATAAGTTAAATTCCGTTTAATATGTTGTTCGCATATATTTAATAAACACCGATTGGTACAGTTTGACACTAGCCTAACGCAATTCTATTCAAAGCTGTCAATACGGTGGTGATTGGCTGCATCCAGAGTGTATCAAGACTATGTTGGATTGACAAGGATTCATCACTCCCGGTATGGGAGAAGTTATCTCACGGCGCATTCAGTATATGGCGTGACACTAAAACTTGGGCCACAAGGGATTGAGTTGTTGCTCTATCCAGTTTATAATACGGGTCTGGTCCGAAACTGAATACTAATATTGAGAGTAATCGAAGGTTGATACTATTTCTATGCCTTCGTCTCGTCGAGATAACGTATGATGAAAGGATCGAATTGTACGGTAACCATATCATTGACAGGTGCTACTTTGTTGAATCCGAATCTATCGAGTGGCCATGATGCCTTGCTAGGGCCAATCTTGGTCTGTGTATAAGTGAGACGATTAATTGGTGTTAATCCACGATACTATACACTCCGGTATGATGAGGAGCCTATGAGTCACACACATAGAGATAATTTAAGACTCAAAAGAAAGAATGGTGTTTTCATCTTTTTGGGTGAAAGGGTATTTTGGTAATTTCACAGTGTAATTAAATTTGCTGAGGTCGTAGCCTTTATTTGATTTGTTAGAAAAATTAAATAAGTTAAATTCCGTTTAAATATGTGTTCGCATATTTTAAATAAATTATCATTATTGTTAAATGTGTATAATATATATATATATAATATATATATATATATATATATATATTATATATATATATTATATATAATTGATTTTAATTGAGATAATATGAATTAAATTAAAATATCTAATTGGGTGTGTTTGGCTAATTTGGGGGTGTTTGGGTTGGAGCCCAAGCCCATTCCATATGGGAATAGGGCACTAAAATAACACTATAAAAGAAAAGGTTTTAGTTGAAAATGAGTGTGTTATTTTATTATTTCATTCTTCATTGAAAACAAGAAACCTCCAACCCCAAATACTCTCCCACGCCAGTTTTTGATTTTTTCCAAAATCAAATACCTTTTGTTTTCTTCTTGATTGTCCTCAAGGCCAAGGAGGATCTAGCAAATCCCTCCTTGGTTCTTGTTGATTGTCTTCGTGTGGACCTCTACGGTTCGATCCTACACTTGGATCGGTAGCAAACACATTCAGAGACAATATTGGTGGAGCCTCCAAACGTGGGTATGGTTTCTTAAACCTTGAACTAATTTTTCTGCAGCTTTGATTATTTTATATAAACTGTGATTTTTGTACCCGGATCTTGGTTCTAAAGAACGATCCATAGAGTTTATGTTTTTTGTTTTTTGCTACGTAACTGGGTCATTTGCTAACAGTCACCACATTCTCAAGGTTTCTAGTGGTGGTCTTTGATTTGATGTGCACCATTATGGGCTTGGATTGGGTAGATTGTCATGACTGTTCGTAGGAATTGTTGTGATGTTGACAGAGGACCTTCCTTCTACTCTAAAATGTTGATACAGAAATCTGCACCAACCAGAGAATTCTGATCGACCTTGGTGGGATCAGAATAGATTGCGCATGATTATGGATAATCAGCGATAGACAAGTATTGAATGCAATAAAGTAAATGGCAATGACAATTTTTAAAGTGGTTCAGTGAGGTAAACTCTTGAGCCTACGTTCACTGTTTTTTGTATTTGTTGCGAGAGCTTACAATGAGAATTATGTGGAAAAAATCGTCACCCCTTTTCATCATTTTAAGGGGTTTATATAAAAGGTTTGTACAAAGGAAAAAACAAAAATAAAGGGATTACAATTGATCTGAACTGCAATTCCGATACTCTCGCGATTAGGCACTATGGTTGTGCAAAGATTACTGTTGATCTAGTCATTCCCACAATATCTGGGATCTTAAGTTATCTGAGAATTGATTAAATGATCATTCGGGTTGTTTGTGACTAGCTTATGCTGGGTCGAGCTATATGTTGACGAGCCTATGCCGGGTCGAACAACTGATGGAGTCAGACTGATCTTGGGTCGAGCTACATCCTTGCAGTAGCCCGAGCTTGGTAATAAAATAAAAAAATGAACTCAATAACTATATATTTTATTTGACCAAAAATATTCACTAAAGCAAACTCATATAATAAAAATAATTACATATGTGATAGGATGACAAAAATAACTGCTTATGTATTACCTAGATCTTCGCACATGACTACCGCATGCAAAGCCGTCTTCCTATTGGTGCTTGCATGAGAGGCTGATTTACAAGTCTCTAGTATTTTAGTCACTATATCAAGAGATCGTCCCTCGGCAGCGATGTAAAATGGGGTTTTGCCGAAATTTTTAGCAGAATATGAAAATTCAGGGTCTTCTATGGTTAATATTTCCACCACATCGATGTAGTCATTTTGCATGTCCTCGTACAAAGTTGTGTCTCACTCATAAAACTCAAGGTCTTCTTTGGTTAATATTTCCACCACATCGATGTAGTTATTCTGCACGGCCTCGTACAAAGCTGTGTCTCCCTCATTATTCTTCATCCTTAGCATCTGTTACTTGGCACCTACCTAACTTTCTAGCTCTTCACATTGAGATTTTGCACACTCAATAAGAACTTCCACTATAGCAACATGTCCACATTTTGTAGCAAGAAGGTAGTGATGGACATATCCCAAGGATTTCGTTCACAAACTCTATTGATTTGGGGGTTGGGCTTGGGGACGTGATATAAATACCAACGATTGTATTCTTGTTTGGTGTTACTAAATGGTTAAGATGTTGATTGGTTTCCTTGAAGGGTTCAATATTACCCTCACATGCGACTCATACAAAGGAAGATCAATCTCGAGATTACTACCATCTGAAACTGAATCCATTGGAAAGCGTGGTAGAGGTTTGGAGTTTGATAGAGGATTCTTAGTCTCATTATATTACTATCAAATTAGAATAACTTGGGTG